CGCTCTCATTAGAAGCGTCCTCCATTGCAACCACGTTCAACTCGCTACGAACGCTACTTGATTCAGGACCGGATCCAGACGATCATTTTGGAGGGGTACATCATATATTTTTGTTAAATAATAAACATTTGTTATTATATTGTAAATTATTTTTGTAGTATATATGACACTACACAATATTGTTTTAAATAATTACATAATTGTAACAAATAAATATTTCAATCAATTTTTCCAAATAAAAGAACGAAAACTCTAGGCCTTTTGGGGGAGGAAGCATGGCCTTATAGTCTCCCCCTGGGAACAGGTAGACGGCGCGTTTGTCCGGAGTGAAGGTCGCCGGATCGATCGATTCTTCGGAAATTTATTGAAGGTGGTCTCTGCCTTTTTAAACAACCTCCTATTTTCAGAATGACTGAAATTTGGAAACCCTCGCCTTTCAGAAACTCATATCACGTTAAAAATAATTAGAACTTGATGAAATTGAACATGGTTCTTTGGAAAATATTCATTCAAGTTCTTATGACTGTCTTGGTATGAGGCAAATAGGAAGTGCAATTTAGTTTTTCGGAGGTATGCCCTCTAGAAGAGGCATTGATTTGCGCCTGGAGCTTCCAAGATTTATGATCTTCTAAGGACAGTAGCAAATTCAACGAAGAGCGGCAACGTCTACGAAATGATCGTATATTATGCGACATTTATAATTTCAAACTTAAATAATGTAATATGTAATTATCTTCTTTTCTTGATTTTAAAGTTTTCTCCTGACTTCTACAAGATTTGGAAACTCGCAAAATGTTATTTATTTTGTGCATGAATGACAGAGCAAAACGATTGTTATTTGACTATTCTACATAACAGTGGCGACTCGTGTCGGTTGTAGCATGTTTGCGCCACAACCAAACAAATTCGCCATTATATCTTTATATACATGTAAGGATATATGTGTCATTCATTATTACTTTCGTAAGTCATAATCGCATCACAATTTTCTAGCATGAAGTGCAAATCAGATACAAGAAATTAAACGGCATGTTTACTGCGAGCCTGTGCATTTACACAGCCTTGCTACGCCTTCGTCTTCACCGTTCGAATATAGGTGAAGAAGATAAAGCAGAGGCTGTCAGAGGCTAAGAGGTGGGGCTTCGCGGGGAATGACTTCATTATGTTAGTCAACGTCAACAACGCTGCGACAAGGTTCTCCACGAATGCGACATACAGGCGTAACCTCCAGCGAGTTCATAGTTTGTAGTTCCAGTCTCTCAGCAAGGTGTATGAATATTTCCTGGAGATACTACAAACTGTGATGAGATTATATCCGATGCAAATCGTATATTAGTTTTCTTGTAAGTTTGTATGTTCTTTATTTCTAATATTAAATAATGTAAACTGATGTTGTGGAAATGGGAACGCCTCGAAGAAAAACCTGAATTTTAGGTACAGTGTATTTCTGAAACGTACATACGAATTGAGTGTATACCAGTACCAGCATCCGATACCCCCTCCCAATTCCATTACTCGGTAAACCAACTTTTGAGGCAACGAGCCGCCACTGCCACATAAACAAAGAATAAATAGTTATTTATATAACAAGGGATTTAAGTAGAGCTTTATTCACAAGGAAAATTTTAATGTCCCGAGTGCGGCAGTGCGAGAAACATAATTCTTCCGAGTGAATAAAGCTGTGATAAACGCCGGGCAACATTATGGGAGTCACCTTTAGGTGACTGTGATTTCAACTGGTTCGCATTGTTTGACGAAAAATAATACGAATGTTACTGCAAATGGAGAAATGACTGGGAATAAAAAAAAGAAGCTATTGTACTTATATTTTAACAATAAATCAAAAACATAGTAGTCTCATTATTTTGGAGGCATTATTCAATGGTGAGGGTGACAAGTAAAATGATATCTCTAAGTAAATACCTACATATTTCTCCATGAAACATTGTTGGCGATATATTTTTAACGCTTTAATTGATTTTGATAGTTTCAGATATTGTAAATTCATTGTATTTTTGAACGGTCATGGAAAACTATTCTAGCCAATAAAACTAAGACTTTTACAAAGCTTGAATTTTACAGATTAGTTAAGAAGCTGGTGAAGATCAGTATTTATTGTTGAAGATTAGTTTTTACCTTATTTTTATGTATTACTTACTTACTTACTGTATATTCAAACTCTCTCTTTCGCATGTTATAACGAGAATGAGAGTAGCTGGTGAGTGCACAATGAATGAATTATATAAAATAACCATTGACGATGTACAGTACAAAGATTCAGCTTTATAGTAAAAATTCCTGACTACAAAGCTATACGTAATGAATGTTCACGATTGTTGATGAATTGGAGTTTTTAAGAAGATCCTGCACGACAATCGCGTAATTAAGCTATGAGTAGAACAGCGACGTCTTTGGACGTAGAAATAAACGCTGGAAAGAAAATAAATACTCCAAAATTGAATGTCAATAATTTAAATAATTGTACAATACATATTCATATAAAAATAATATTCACGTAAAAAAAGTAATTACATTAATGTTATTACTCAAAGTTTTCATGTATGTTACATTATTTGTATTTTGCTTACTCTGCGGTTACTTTAATCTCGGAGAGATTTAAGTGCAACTCCAATCTCGGCAGGAATAAATACACATTTTAACATAGGAAAAAGTGTGATTAAAGCCACACTTTAATCACCTTTAAAAATAAATAATTTTATTACAAGAGAGCAATAGCGTCTTAATTTGATAGCTATTTCTTACTACTGGTGATAAAACAATATTTATAATAATGTATATCGAAAATAAAAGAATACACGCGTAAAGTACATTCAAAATCACCATACAAATCATTGTCAGTTGAGCAAAGATTTTGTGATTTACATTTTTTCAAAATGAACTTCGAGAACCAAATTACAACGAAAAACTGTGGTGCGTTTCTAAAGTCCAATTCTAGTTGATTAAGATATTTTACACAGAAGATTACAGAGATCCTAAAATACTCACGTTTTCTTGAAACTACACCCAAAAGACAAAATCATTCCGTTTCTGAGCCACAATAGTACCCATCTGGTAGAATTCACAGAGACGCAATCCTTAGGGTAGCAAGTTAAATAGAGAATAGAATCTTAATTTATACATCTAGGCTATTACTAAATGAATTCGTAGACTATACTTTTTAGTTGTTAATTTACAAAAGTGGAAACAAATTAATTTGTTACATTTAACTCAAATATTATGAAGAAATAATGTCAATAATTCAATGTATTTCTGATTTTGAATAAATAAAAAGTATAAATGTGAATTTGTGTCATCGACATCTGGAGGGTGACCATGCTGAGGTTCCATGTGACTAAGAAATTAAGAAAATTACAAAATAATGTGCTTTGGGCGGCGATAGATCGCAGCTGGCAAGAGTATGTGGGAAGTCCGAATATGTAGCTGAGACCAGAGGAAATAGAAATCTAATCCGGTAAAGTCTGTGCCATTCTGTAGCACCACTAGTTAAGAATATTTCTATACATTTGATATATTTTAGCATAGGCACGTGAATGACGAGGGCGAAGTAACAAACTTACTAGAGTTCGCGGGCCCTGCGAACGGAGAAATTGGCGCAAGATTTGAAAGTAAGGTTTGTAATTATCCTCTGGAGTGGCGGCACATTACTGAATTCCTGGCTCATAACATTCTTTGCGAAAAGTTATTTGCAAATGATTGCCACAAATTAACAATGTTAATTGTCATTTTCTCTTTAAGCCAAATAAATGATCCACTGAAATGAAATAATACATCAGTCCTACTTCAAATTCTCAATTGAGAGTAAAATTTAAAATAATAATCAAAGTAATCTTGACTTTGTAATCCTGTTTACTATTATATAAAATAATGTTATTTTCATGTTCAGGTTAGATGGTGTAACTAGATGTTTAGATAATGAACTAGTCTAAACAAAGATTGCATTCCTGAATAACCTTATCATCGAAATTTTTTCTATTGCTTCCAGAAAAGACTGGTATACCATATAAAAGCATTTTAAGTCATTTATTAGTGTGGGCATGCCCTTATTCGGAAGAAGCTGCCCAAATCCATATAAAAAATGCTTCGACAATTATAAAATAAAAAAAATATGTATTACTGTGAACACCCCTTCGTATATTATAAGTGATAAACGATACAAAGTAGGCATATCAAAAGTAGCTAAATTATCCCAAAATGTCTACATGTCGTTAAATAATATCTCAGAAACTGCATTATACACATAATTTAACACACATATAAAACCAGACATTATACAGGTGAATATTCTTGGTGAAATTACTTAACGTTATAAAAACAAGTGCCGCAAAAACAATTGTTCTATCCAAAGGGAATTTTTTATTTTCTCCAAAAAATACTATCATAATTTCAAAATATTTTTAATATTATATAAAACGAACAGCAATGTGCTGATGAATTCTTGATCAGTGTCACAGTGATGAAGGGGATATCTTAATGAATTCTGTTTATTTATCTCAAGAAAATAAATTCGACTTCGGATTATTAAAAAACAACTTTTAAAGTGCAATTACATGTTTAATTTTTATACATTTTGTGATCTTTTATAGCTATTATTATTTTTACTTGAGTTTTAAGTTAATTCTCATTTTGACTGTGTATAATGAAATTTATCTTTGTTTTGTGCGTCCTGGTTACCTCAAGAAACAAATGCTATAATTATTCGTTATGTTAGGAACATTAACAACCAGTCTTTCCATTGCTTATGGATTTCATCGCCCCGAAGTGGCCTTTCTTTTCTTTAGATAAATCACCAAAGAAGATCTTCAATACGATATCTCACTTAATTATGAAAATTGGAGTGCAGTAATAGACCATTAAGGTAATATCCCACAACGCTGCAGCGTTACTGACTTATAACTCACAAGGGCGATTCGGGAAGTTGCTGCAATTATTTTGCATTTACTAGAAGGTTGTTGTTGTTGTTGTTGTTGTGTTGAGCAAAAATGACGTGGATACCTTTGGAATCTAATCCTGATGTTATGAACAAGTTTTTATACAAACTTGGAATGCCAAATAAGTATCATGTTGTTGATGTGTGCGGCTTAGATCCTGAATTACTTGCCACAGTACCAAAACCGGTTCTCTCTATTGTCCTTCTCTTTCCTTTCTCCGATAAATATACTGAGGACAACACCAAACAAGAGGATGAAATAAAGAAGAAAGGTCAAATAGTAACTGAGAAAATTTTCTACATGAAGCAGGTAGAGCCCAACGCGTGCGGAACCATTGCTTTGGTTCATAGTGTTGCCAATAATCTCGACAAAATTGATCTTCAAGAGGGACATCTCAAGAAATTCATCGATGCAACGAAAAATCTGAACCCTGACGAAAAGGGCAAATCATTAGAGAAAGCTGACGGGATCATTAGCGCTCACAAGGAGGCGGCGTTGGAAGGCCAGACTGCTCCAACTGAAGAAGTGAAATATCACTTCATTACATTTGTGCATCGAGATGGCCATCTTTATGAGCTTGATGGACGCAAATCCTTTCCTGTTAATCTTGGCGAAAGTACCAACGACTCTTTTCTTGAAGACGCTGCTCGAGTGTGTAAGGAGTACATGAGCAAATATCCCGACGAGCTACGCTTTTCGGTTGTTGCTCTTACTGTTGCAGAGTAAATTTGAACTTATGCAAAATTTTATATTTTAAAAACTTAATTCCAAGTTAATTCCAAGTCGTAACATCTTTAAAATATATTTGCAAGAATTTTTCTTGAGGTATTTGAGTTTCTCTAACAAAGTGTTTGTTTTGATTCCTTTATTAGAAATATGTATATGTTCGAAATACAAACAGAACATCTTGTAAAACGGAGAACGTAATATAAAATCAATAAATTTTTATGAAATGCAGTGACTATAAATTTGTTAGGTTATGGCAACATTGTATATGTAAAAAATGTTTTATTTTATTTCTTAGTTAAGATTATTTTCTTAATTTAGTTTAAAACCAAATTAGGAATGAAAAATAAACTTGAAAACAAGGTAAGGTTTCATATGAAGTAAAGGATTTTAAATAAGGTAGTATAGGTCTTACGAAGTATAGGCTGTAATGTAATGCTGTGGCAAAAACCGGGATATTTCAATACAAAAACTCATTAGAGTTGGGCATTGGTAGAGACAAAGTGTATGAATCTTGTTCCAAAATTAATTAAAATAATACCCACAGTAAGTCATTCCCTCATACTTTGTGCAGACACAATCCTCGTTTTGTGTATTCTTGATACCGAAAAACTCGTTGACGGCAAAACGCCTGTTCATCTCTTCGTCTCTCTGCCCGTCAGTGAACAACGGTAGCGGTTAAACCGAAGGCAAGATTTTCATTAAAATGATATTTCCCAATACATCTAACTGATGTGACCCCTTGAAACGGATATTTTGATTTTGAGGTGTTCTTTACAAGAACCCAAATTTACAAGAATTCTTTACAAGATTCCAAATTTTTCTCCAAATATGATTCCAAAGATTTACTTTATATTATTTCATTATTTTTTTTGTTTCGGTTAGAATGTTCATAATGACTTAGGCAGGTGTTTTTGTTCACTAAAATTCACTAAAGCATTAGTGTAGTACGTCCAATGAGATTTTTTAATTAAAAAAACAATTCTTGAAATTAGTGAAATCTCCCTAATGGCTAACACTGATAATAAATATTAAAAATAATCAGAATATATTGGCGAATCATTTACATTTTCTGACCGATAAGTATCTTTGAAAACTATTAATAAAAATTAAAACCTTGACTAATAACAAACAAACGAGTATTTTGGTAAAAAATAGTAAATCGTTGAAGTATCTTTGTACTTACCGATTTTTCCATATCCCCACAGTTCAACACTATATTAAAATCGATTTGATTAAAATTATCTTTCTTGTATTCTAAAGTTCAGTACAAAATATTTTCTTTCAATTTGCAGTTCTGATCAATTAATTATTGAAGTGTTCAGGCAACAAGGTTCCGATCAGCAAGATATCTCTTAACACAGCTTCTGTCAGCCTTTACTCCTTGCGAATATCTAGAAAATGGAAATGAATTGGTCAATCCCTTGTTCAGCTTGTAGATATTAATGACAATTTTTTTTATAAATACGTTGAAATATAATTAAACAATGCTTATTGTGTTGTTTAAACAGTTCATTCAAAATTAATACATTAAAACCGGTCATTAATTATGGTAATCTGAAAACAAAGCAGAACTACGTATTTTCAATGTCGGGAAATACTAATTGGTTTTTATGTAAGCTTAGGTAACTTAATGAAATAATGAAAGAAATGTATTTCAAAAGTTTCGTTCAAATTTCGAAAGTTTAAGCCGTAGAAACCGTTATGCAAAAAATTTTTTATGTGTTTGTGCTCAAATAAGTTTACTCCTATACTACGTTATGAATTATAAATTTTCTACCATTGAATAATAATAAAATGGATCTAATGTGTTTGATTTTAAAATATATCATTTGGTACTGGTGTTCATTGACACATAATTTTTTAAAGTATTTCTTTTATAATTCAATAGTAATAATCAACTATTATTATTATTATTATTATTATTATTATTATTATTATTATTATTATTGTTTTAAACATGGTATAATTAATTAACGAAAATCCTTGCAATGTAAGGAATGAATGTAGAATTCTCATTTAATGTTTCATTAAAATTAGTTAGTCAAAAATAGATACTAATATTTACAATCATACAGCTTGAGAAAGGATACTACGAAAGTACTGTCCATGGTATTAAATTCCAGGTAATAATAAGTGAGACCATCATTTCGTTTCTGCAAATTTTTCTATCATTTTGCACGCGGTCGTCAATGAGGAGTGAACTCATCCATTCTATAATGCTGGCCTAATTACTTGAAACACACAGTTTAAGGACAAATTTCCTTGTAGTTTGAGACATAAATGGTGAAATGGCATTTGTAATTTCATTGGAACGATGCTAATGGGAGAAGCTATATACTGTAATCTAGACCACCGAGTTAGTTATGCACAGAAGTTCCAATAACAGAACAGATAACTTTGGCAAAGTGGAATTGCTTGGGAATGAGCTCAGGCTAAGCTGACCGTGGTGCACGGGGTTTGTGCATTGCAGCGATGCGCTTCTGCGTCGGTTCTGTTGGCTGCAGCGTCGGCGGAGGGGCGTCGTCGAAACGAGGGCGTCGCGACCGGACCTGGCTCGCGCGGGGCGCTTACCCAGGTCAGGCGGCAATGAGCAGCGGCGGGGGCGCGGGCAGGGGCGGGAGCGGGAGC